TTTCTGCTTTCCTAGCGGCGGCAGAAAGCATCCCGCCAACCGCATAGAAGTTTATCGTGTTGACTTCGTGGAAACGGTTGTCAGACTTCACAATGACAAATATGGAGATGTCTGCTTATTAAGGTTTTCCCTGAAGACCGTGAACTAAAAACAGGCTGTCCAGGCCTGGTGGCACAAGCCTGTAATCTCAGCTACCCAGGGAGCTGAGGCAGGAGGATTGTAAGTTCAAAGCCTGCCTGGGCGATTTAACGAGGCCCTGTCTAACAAAGAGGGCCGGGGCGTATGTAGCTCAGTGGAAGAATGCTTGACTGGCATCCTCTGTCCTGTCCCCAACATAGAAAAGCAGGCAAAGTGACTTCAGTTCTGCTTTTTTTTCTTATGAAGCTTCTGGAACTTCTTCTACCCCACCTATTCTTTCCCCACCACCGGAACCCTTCAGAGAAGTCTTCAGACCCTGCAACTGACAGTGCTTCCTGGGGCCACCCACCCACCACCTACTACAGGACGCCCAGCGGCCGATGGGACATATCTCGGTAGAAAGAGCCAACCTCAAGCCAAAAGAGATTAGCCTGGCGGTGGGATCTCTGTCGCGGGGGGAGCTGCTGAGTGGCTTCTGACCCAGGGACTTAGCAGTCTGTCCTTGTCCTTGGTGTAAACTTGCCCGCGAACACAGCCCGTCCGTGTCACCAGCTCACACGGCGGAAGAAGGTGTGCCCGCTACTTTTCCCGCCGTGTCCCATCTGCCACACTGTTGCCGTGCCCCATCCACTAAGGTTAGCTTTTACGAGAGGGCTCTTTATATAAGGTGGGTCGCTGTCACTCACTGAGCTTTTCCAGTAAACACTCCTGGTGAGTAGGCTAAGGTCTTTGGAGCGTAAAGCCTGAGCCTCATGTAGCTCGAGTGGAAATTTTCAACAAGCGGTTCCTTCAGCTGCAGAGCCGCACAAGAATGTGATTTCCTTAACGCGTGTGCACCCATGGAAGCTAATAGATGGCCATTACCTGGCTCTGGACACAGACTATCACTCAGCTCGATGCCCACAGCACTAGCAAAAGGCCCATTTGCGACGCCAGCGAACAGCTGGATTCATTATGTCCAGATCCATGAACAACCAGATGGACCCTTGTTGGCACAGACTCCCCGACTGCCAGCTGAGTGGTTGGCGTGGCCTCTGCCCTCCCTCCCCCTGCTCCAGCAGGGTCCCCCGACTCGGTCATCACTTGCGGTTCACAGGGCAACACGCAGCAGACCCGTGGCGCCTCCTGGTTTCTGAGACAAAGGACAAGGCAAATGGAGTCGGCACGGGTTTAGGTGGAAGGAGGGGGTGTGTAACGGGGAGTGTGAGACTGTCGCTCACCACTGCAGGGCTGGGAGCTGGGTCGGCAGATGCAGCCAGTCATGTGCATCACTCAGACACTCATCCTGAAGGGGTAGAAGCATCCGTGTACTAATCTGGGATTCCAGAAAAGGGGAAAGGGACGGCGGGGCCACACCATCACTGACTCTGGGGGAAAGAGATGACATGGCCACACCATCAATAACTCTGGGGGAAAGGGTCTCACGTGGCCACGCCATCACTACCTCTGAATAGGCAAAACTGAGTAGAAGATATTCGGTGATATTCGGCGACAGTTCCTCGGTTAGAGGAGTGAGAACCTTGGAAAAGGTTCTTCTCACTTCTCAGTCTTCCGCAGGCCCTCAGTGGAGCGGAAAGTGGCCTGGGACTCAGAGGTAGCTGCCGTGTCTTTGTGCTAGTCCCTTGTTTCACTGAAGACAGGGTCTCACCATGCAGCCCTGACTGACCTAAAATCCACTCTGTAGATCAGGCTGCTCTCAGCTCACAGAGATCTGCCTGCTCTGCCTCCTGAATGCTGGAATTAAAGGACACGTGGCACACCATGCCTGACTTTATTAGCCACTTACTTTGTTGCTGTGGTAAAATACCTAAGGGTTGATTTTGCTGCATAGTTTTAGAATAGAGTCCATCACAGTGGGGAAGTCTTGGTTACCGGAGCTTGAAGTGATTGACCACACTGTGTCTGTCGCCAGGAAGAGAGAGATTAAGGCTGGCAGTCAGCTCCCTTTCTCCTTTTTATCTACTCCAGAACCCCAGCCTACAGAAGGGACCATCCACACTGAGCATGGGGTCTTTCCACCTCACTTAACCTAACCTAATTTTTTGTTTTTTGAGATAGGGTTTCTCTGTGTAGCTTTGGAGCCTATCCTGGAACTCCCTCTGTAGATCAGGCTGGTCTTGAACATACAGAGATCTGCCTGCCTCTGCCTCTCAAGTGCTAGGATTAAAGGCGTGTGTCACCACTGCCTGGCTTCCACTGGTAATTCTAAACCCATCAAATCAACAATTTTATTCTCTAGATGTGGTGGCACGCACCTCTAATTCCAGCACTCTGGAGGCAGACGAAGGGGATCTCTGAGTTCTAGGTCAGCCTGGTTTATGTAGCCAGTTCCAGAACAGCTAGGACTACATAGTGAGACTTTGTCTCAAAAACAAAACAAACAAACCAAAAAAAAAAAAAAAAAAAGCCCTCACAACCTTCTTGGCATTGTTACTTTATACCTTTCTGCCAATCCCCAGACTGCTCAGAGAGAAACAGAGTTGCCCTGCCCATCTGCACACGGCCCCATACCCCACCCATTTGCAGACGGCCCCATGCCCACCATCTGCACACAGCCTGTGATGTTCAGCCTTTATTGCCAATTTAACTGGACTTACAATCACCATGGAAACTCACCTCTGGGCATGTCTTTGAGGGTGTTTCCAGAAAGGGCTGACTGAGAAAGGAGGGTAGACTTACCCTGATGTGGGCAGCACCACTCCATGGGCTAGGAGCTCAGATAAAATAAGAAGAGAAAGATAGATAGATGCACAAGAGTATTCATCTCTGCTTGCTGACGGGACATGCCCAACTGTGATGAGGTCACTAGCTGCCAACCACGGCGAGTCTAACGGTCATTAATTAAGCCATGTTCCTTGTGTTCTCACTCACATACGGCTTGCTTGGAGCTCTCCATGGACACCTGTCTCTACTGCTTCGGGGAGCTGACTCCTACCACACCCCCCAGAAGACGAAGCTGCTGCTTTCCCGTAACGTCATTATACAGCTCCCTGTCTGTGGGACAGTCAAGGTGGTCTCCGTCCTGGAATAGGTGGAGGCTTTTTTTAGGAGCCGTCTCTACTGGCAATTTAGAACCGTTAATTAGATTCCACACTGCATAAAAAAGCCACGGAGCCCTTTGTATTTTCCTTAGGAGGGGCTTCCTGAGAGTCAGCCAGAGCCTGCCAAGACTGACCTTGTTCTCCTCAGAGCCCTGACCTTCCTCTTTCCTGGACAGCTTGGTAGCTGGAGCAATCTGCAAGCTTTCTTATTTACCTTCCTTAGTGCTGCCCGCCACAACTGAATCCTAGCATCCCTTTTACTTTAGTTCTATCCGAATATGTGTCTGCGCATGTATGCATGCTACAGGAGACCAGAGGTGGCCATTGGATCCCCTGGATCTTGAACTTACAGTTGGCTGTGAGCCAATCAGTGTGGGTGGCTGGGAACTAAATCCAGGTCCTCTAGTGTTTTTTAAACAAGTCATCTCCCCAGCAACCCCTCCCATCCCTCTAATTTTACTTATCATTTGTTGCTACCATAAGAGTATCTAGGTTTTCAGGCCTCCGTATAGGATGCAGGGGGGGGGGCACAAAGACCGGTTTCTTCAAGGTTGAGGGTTATGATTCCTGAGAGCAGAGACCATGTCACTCTTGAGTGCTGTCACCAACTGTTACCGAGGGAACAAAGGTGAGATACAGAGAGTGCAAATGAGAATGAGCCGGCAGAGCCCTAACGAACGTGGCTGTGTCCTGGACGCTTGTGTGGTGAAGGACCCCTGAGAAGCTGTACCAAGGAGAAGCCTGCTCCCAACAGAAGGAAAACAAATCCAAACAGCTGCTGCCTCCCTCCAAGTGCCAGCAAAAAGGTGGGGCGAGAGGAGGTGCGGAGCCTCAAGGGGAAACATTGATTCAAGTCATCGATCTCTGTTTCCTAGCAGGATGGCAGGCAGCGTGACTCACCCACAGAGAACTGGCCCTGGTCCATTAGCCTCCCCCAAGGGACCCTGCGCCTAGCAGAGCAGGTCCATAATCATCCGGTAATCACAGGGACCAAGAGACTAACGCTGTCAGGACCATGGGCACGGATCTCTGTAGACTCAATGCAATTAGAGTCTGTGCTTGTCCTGGGAGGCTTCAGTGGAATTTTCCCTGAAGCCAGGCTGGAGCGGAAGCTTGGGAGAGTGAGGTGGAGGGCAGAGAAGGGAGCCAGCCAGCATGCAACCCTTCTCCAGGGCCTTGGGGAGTAAGACAGAGTGCTAGCACCGTTTATTGCTGCTGAGTAAGAGTAAAGGAGCAGCCTCTGGTTGCCGGCAACTCAAGAGACCACGGGAGGTGGGGGGGGAGTGTTCGGGGAGTCCGAACAGAATCCAGAGCAGGGTCAGGCCAGGAGCGCAAAGCAGTTGGCACCTCCACGCAGTGACAGCCCTGCTTGCTGGTTCGGGCCAACCACAACGGCCCAATTCCCAGTGGCTGCATCTTCCATGCAGGGACTGCCCCTGCTCATTCAAGCCAATAAAATTGTTCACACTGTAGTGCCTGTTTCTGTCTGTATTGGACACACACACACACACACACACACACACACACACACACACACACACACCATGTGCCTGCATGTAGAGGCATGAAAAACCCAGAGGCACCCAACACTCCTCTTATGACCTCAGTCCTCTATCTCCCCCAGGCGTAAAGAGGGGAAAGCTAACTACAATCTCTGATTTTTTACCTTCACCCTTCTGAGAGGTAGGACTTAACTGCCATCTCTACAGATGAGAAAAACCAGAGAGAGAGAGAGAGAGAGAGAGAGAGAGAGAGCACAGAGTGGGCACCACGTCCCTTCATGCCTGATCTGCTAAAGGGAAACTCTCCCGTTCATTTTTCAGTTAGCAAAAGCTTTTGCTTATCACAGTGGCCCAGAATGACCCTGTTATACAGCAGGCTGCAAAGCAGCAGTTGGCTCCCAGGCCTCCAGCTAACAGGGTTTGTACGAGGACCTGCCATTTGCCAGCTTTCCCAGGAACCTTCCCAGGAGCCAGCACACTGCCAGAACACCGCGGCTGTTTCCGTGGAACATCGGGCGGCTACAGCCTTGGAATTCAACCTCCGGGTTATTAAAGCAACAAATTACCCACCGTGAGGACTGCAGAGTGTGTTCAGATGGAAAACGGCGTATTTTTTATGACATGATTTAATTAGGAGCAGCATCTCCCCATCCGCTCAGTTGTCAGAGTGAGGCCGAGATGAGCAGTTGGCCTCTGCCTCTGGCTCTCTTCCCTGCTGATGCCGCCTCTTGGAGGAGGAACAAAGTGAAACCACTTTGGGAAACCAATTCAAGCTGGTGGGAGTAGGCCTGAGGGGGATCTGCAGCTTCCAAAGGTCTTTGGCTCCCCGTGTGTCACCCAGCTGTGGCAGCGTACCCCAGCACAGAGAGGGGCGGGGCTTTGACACCTGTACCCTACCGTCTGCTCCTTGCCCCGGCTTCCACCATCTTCTGCATCGCGGCGATGGAGAAAACGAAACGAATCTCAAGGGTCCCTTGGATGGAAGTGTGTGCGTGCGTCTGGAGGATGTTTGCAGGGAGGGACAGTGGGAGGCTGAACCCAGATGGGCCGAGCTCCATGGGCTGAGGCGTTTCTAAAACTGAGTTGGAAATGAGAGTTTTTAAAGTCTGATTTCCATTTTGGACCATTTTGGTCCTTGACATTTCCGTTGTATCCCGCGGCTCTTTCAACATTCAAACAGAAACTGTTCTAACATGTAGATACGTCTCATTCTACGTCACACACATGGGCCTTCCCATCCTCGACCTCCAGATTTGGAAAGCAGCAGGTAAATGTCCACCAGATGGCAATGGGAGCTCCCTCTCCCTCCCTCCCTTCTCTCTCCCACTCTCCCTGTGGTGTGTGTGTGTGTGTGTGTGTCTGTGTGTGTGTGTGTGTGTGTGTGTATGTGTGTGTGTGTGTCCTTGTTCCTCAGATGTTACCGTCTCTTTCCTTTCCTCCTGAGATAGGGTCAAGGTCTTCCTGTCTTCACTTACCCACACTGGTGTTACAAGTATGCACAGCCACGCCCAGCTTTAACAACAACACAACAGCAAAAATCACGGGGTCCTGGGGTCCAAACCCAGGTCCTCCTCTTTGTGTGTCAGGCACTTTACCAAATGAGCTGTCTCCCAAGCCATGGAATACTTTTGTTTTTGCAGTTTTCCTAGAGAGTGATGCGGCTCAGCATAAGCGCCTGAATCTGTTGCAAAAGTGCACATCGGTGTTGGATCAAAGTTCCGGGCACTTCATTTGGGAAGAATTCATGGAGAATATGAGTTTTAAATATAATCTGAAATTTTTTGACAGATTTGGGGCTTGCTTTATGCATATTTAAATTTCTTCCCAAAGAAAATGAAGGAGTCACAAGTTCTTTCTTCTCACTTAAGGAGAGCACCAGTAGGAACGGGGTCCATCAAAGGGAAGCCTGTCAGAATCTCCCTTTCAGTGGGGGATGCATGAGGACGGCACATGCCTGGTTCCCTGACACAGAGCCGAGCTCACCAGATGCAGCTCTGCCTTCACCAGGGTCTACCTGCTGGGTCACAGACGGCACTTTATAAAAGGAAGACTCATACCCGTTTTACGGGCGTGACACTCTGGATGCCAGAGTGAAATCCGGCCCCTCCGTGGTCCGCAGTCTGACATCTGACATCAGAAGATGCAGGGTCCACTCCTGGGTCTTCCCTTCATCACCTAGGATGAACCCCTCATTGCTGCCTTATGCAGACATGCTTGCCGTTATCTGTGCAATCAAAGTCTCGGGTAGGGTCATGGCGTCTGTGGGTTTCTGCATGGTGAACACAGTCTGGGGCTCTAGCTCAATGGGAGAGAGAGTGATTGCATGGGCATGCGAGCACACACATGCACGTGTGCACACACACAGAGAGACAGAAAGACAGAGAGACTCCTGTCCACATCACACACAGAGACAGAGAGACACAGACTTCTGTCCAGGTGTACTACATACTAGTACACACACACACACATGCATACACACACACATACACACACATGCATACACACACACATACACACACATGCATACACACACACATACACACACATGCATACACACACGCAGAGACTGACTCCTATCCAGTTGTACTGCGTGTCAGTCAACTACACATGATCTGAACTGTGTCACTCTCCGGTGTCTCTGGGTGGCCGCTCAAGACTCCGCTAAGATCAGCCTATTTCTCCATCCAGCCCCCACTTTGTTGCAGGTTTCGTGGAAAGGATACATCAAGTCATAGTAGGATTTCAGAGATCGGTATGTGAAAGGTAAAACTCGGCACTAAAACCTGCTTGTGGTCCGAGTGCCTCCTGCACCATTTACCTGCCTCGGCGGGAAAGGTGGGCTTTGCGCAGCTGGGGGAAGAGCCTTCTGATGGTTGCTGCCCGTGTGGAATGCTGTGTGCCGTTCCCTGGCAGGAAGTTCCTGCTGCGTGCTCTGTATCTAAACGGCACCTTCTCTGCAGCTGAGCAAGACGTGAACTTTATCACTGATGGCCACCGTCCAGGCCTCCAGTGCAAGCCGTCAGAGCCTCGCTGTACAGGCCTGCCCTGGTCTGAGGAGGGGGGGCTGAAAGCCCACACCCATCAACTCTCTTGGAAAGCATTTCTAACAGTTCACTCTGCTTGCTACAGGCCTTGCACGTCCTGAAACCTGTTAGCATTTGAAGTTTGTATATTATGTCGTTTTCATTATTTAGGCTTTATATAAATAATGTGTATACACCATGTGTCTGGGGGTAACCACGGAGGTCAGAGGACAGTGTCGGATCCCCTGGAGCTGGAGCTACAACAGGTCTTCTGCCACCCTCTGTGGGTGCTGGGGAACAAACTCGAGCCCCCTGGAAAAGAGGTAAGGGGGGCTCTTGAGCACTGATCCCTGAAGTCACACTAGCCTTTAACAGGAAATCACAGTGACGTTTGGTTGCCACCGCTCCCGTTTAGGCTGTGAGCAATCTGGTGTCTAGGATTTAGGCAATCGTTAGATTCCCCAGTAGCAAGAACAGCGCCTGGCATCCGGTAGGCTCTCAACAAACACGGTCAAAAATTCAATGAATCACTGGAGGAAAGGGGGCGTGATAAATCTAAAATAATACCTACTGCTGGTGCTGTTATATTTAGACGCTCTCATTCAGATGAATTGAGTGGGTGCTATCAAAGGGGTTTGCTGTTAGCCTGAAGGGACTAAAGTTTAAAGGACTTTTGGAGGCCGCTTAGACCAGGGACTTGCAAACTGTGATTGACATGTCTAACATGAGCTACTACTGCCCGCGTCTGGAGATGAAGCTACATCAGAGTACAACCCTGTGAAGCCTTTGCACTACAGTTATTAATGGAGGAGAGGTGACTGCAAGGCCCCTGTTATTGTTTAGATATGAAATGTCCTACATGGTGAACACAGTGTTTGGACTTGGTCCCTAGTTGGTGGTGGCACTGTTTTGGGAGGCTGCAGAATCATTAGGTGGCAGGAGCTAGCTGGAGGAACTAGCCGGGGACCTGGACTCAAGGTTGGTAGCTGGCCCCACCCCCCACACTCCCACTACCACAGCCACAGAGCTGACCCTGCCTCCACGCTTTTCCCACCTTGGCGGACCACGTCCTCTGAATCGTGATCTAGAATGTATTTCCTAAGTTGTGTCTGTCCGATGCTTTATCACGGCGATGAGCAAAGCAGCTACACAACCTACAGAACTCCGTACTCCGCCTTTCACTGAAGAGGCTGGCTGCCCGGACTTGGAATGCCCCCTCCCCAGGCACAGAAGGCAACTGAGGCTGTGGATGGGAAATGGCTTGCTCAGGTTCATTACCACACGTGGTGGGGGATGTCCTTCTGTAAGTATGTTTCTCTTTTTGGTTGATGAATAAAACACTGATTGGCCATTGACTTGGGCTTCTTATTAACCCCTTTCTATTCATCTATGTACTGCCACTAGCAGTGGCTTACCCGTAATCCGGCATGTTACTCCTTTGACAGCATGGCGTCTCCTGGCCTCTCTCTGTGTGTGTCCTCTCCCCAGCCTTCTCCTGGTCTGGCGGCCCCACCTATGCTTCCTGCCTGGCTACTGGATAATCAGTGTTTTACTCATCAACCAATAAGAGAAACTTATATACAGAAGGACACCCCCCACAACACCCTAGCTCCCTTCTGGCCTGCCTCTTTTTTGACTATCCCTCCACATCTTCCCAAGTCACAAGAACATACTTCAAAGCGCCAGTGCAGAAGGAGCTGGCAGCTTCCCCTCAGCCCAGGGAAGAACTGACAGGTGCCATCCTGTTTTCCCACGTGTGACGGGACCTTACTCTGAACCCCAGGTTGGTTTTCCTGAATTCAGACATTCCTGGGCACGCCGGGAGAATCGTGCCTCCCGTGCTTGAAGTCCTTTCCCAGGAGCCTCCAGGAGAAAGCTCGCCTTAAGCAGCGAGGGTAGAGTTGCGTGACTGTGTCTATGAGAGATGCAGAAGAGAGATGGCGCTGAGGCCTTTGCCTGAGTCCTACGGAGAAAGAGCCGTAGCAAGGTAGAGCTGAATCATTCTGTAGGACTTAGGTAGCACAGTGGCCACCACAGCACAGGGGGGCTGTGGCCTTGGGGCAGGGTGTTTCACACCACTACACGGAGATGTCCGTGGTTGTTGCCTGTGGCTTCCTAGGCAACGGAACCCCATACAGGCGTCCAGGATGGACCAGTGACAGACAGTGGGTAATGGTGATGGACTGTTTTATGCAAAATGCTCTTAGGATGTCCTAAAACCAGCGGGGACAAGGGGGGGGCACTGGATGGCCCACAGCAGTTACTGAAAAAGGGAAGAAAAGTGATCAGACTGGAGAGCTCACAGAGGTCAGTGCGGCTGAGCTGGAAATGTCCTCTTGCTTGGCTCCTGGGCTGGTGCAGCCCGTGGTAGTCACAGGCTCTTGGGCTGGGGATGCGGCTCAGTGGTAAAGAGAGTGCCTGGCATGCATGAGGGCTGCGCTCAGTCCCAGGCGCCACAAGAACAAAGCAGGGCACAGGTGAGACGGCTCCGTGGGTAAAGGAGCTCTGCTGCCAGACCTGGTGACCCGAGTTTCATCCTCAGGACCCACACAGTAGAAGAGCCCAACTCCTGCAAACACACACACATACAGACAGACACACACACACACACACATGCACGCACGCACACACGCACATGCACACACAAACATACACATATGCACGCATGCACACACATACATACATACATACACATACACACGCACGCATGTACACATACATACACACATACATGCACGCATGCATGTACACACACATACACACACATGCGCGCATGCACACACATATACATACCACACGCGCGCGTGCACACACATGCACGCACATGCACACACATGCACACACACACACTGTGGCAAGCACCCACACCTCCACACAAAATAAACGTGTGTGATAAAAACTTTTAAGATGAAACAAGCAAGTGTGAAACCTCTCGCTGGCCACTGACAGTTTTAAGGAGCGCTGGACACACATGTGGGCTCCTCACAAGCATTTCCTGGGGCAAGTGGTAAAACCTCTAAAACTCCACAGATGAGCTTATCAGTCCTGGCCCAACAGGGCAGGGATATATTCCAAGCTGATAAGATGCGCAATTCCTTTGCTGTCAGATGCACTCACCTGTAAATACAGCCAGAGTGGCTGATGCGACTCCAATAGGATCCGTGAGGGGAAAGGAAAGAAATGACTCATGATTGACAACCGGGACTCCTTCCATAACAGGAAATACAGCTCAGAGATGTGGGAGCAACGGGTCTGAGAGAAGTAGGGCAATCCACTCCGGGGCTGCTGCCTCCGAAAGAGTAAACAAGACTGCAGAGGAACAGCAGAGGGCTGAGTGGCGTTTTGGGCGAGGTCATGTCTGAAGATTCCTTTTCAGGGCTTATGCGGAGTGAGGTGCGGTGACTTCTTACTTCCTTGCTTCCTTTTGGATTCCTGAGATCGTTATCTCGCTGTATATATAGTTCAGCCTGGTCTCGAAACTCGGGATTCCCCCTGCCTCTGCTTCCCAGTGGTGGGACAGGCATGTGACACTGCACTCGGAATTGGTGACTCTGTTTAGGAGCAAACATCTTACCAAGGATGAAGCTGTGTAGTTATTTTCATGTTGTTACTCAAAATACAAAAGCAAAAAAGCACTGCGCGGTGCCGTTCGACGTCAATACCGCCGGCCATCCAGCTAGCGCGTGTGAGGCAACCTGCCTGTGGGGAAGTCACCTAACGGGACTTTCTAATGACCCGTGGGTGGCTATGGCTCTGCAAAGTTAACTGGGAACCGGAGATGTCTAAACTGACAAAATGACTGGACTCGGGTGCAACGGCTCGCACTTGTCATGCCATCGATCATGAGGCTGAGGCAAGAAGATCACTGCTGGTTCTGAGGTAGCCCGGCCTACAGGGTGGGTTACAGGCCACCCTAAATCAGACCGAGGTTGCCGTCTCAAAGAGATGTGTTTGGTAAAATGAAATGAACTCTGTCAAATGGAACATGTGACCCCGGAGGGCCTGATCTCAATGCCGTCGGATCGTCACCTGGTGTATTAGTTAACTGTCCTGGGGTCCTGATAAATCACCAAAAACAACTTAGAGCAGGAAAGGGCTGCCCTGGCCCTCAGTTCCAGAGAGACAAGGGTTCGTCATGGAGGGGGAGGCATGGCAGGAACAGGAAGTTGGCTGGTCACATTTTCATCTATACACAGGAAGCAGAGACAGTGAGAACAGGAAGTGAGCCAGGCTATTAAAAACCTCAAGACCTGCTCCCAGTAATTCCTCAGACAGAGCTTGGTCTCCTAAAGGTTCTACAATGTCCTGAGACAGGTGTTCAAATGCATGAGTCTATGGAGGTCATTACTGACTCAATCCCACAGTGGAGTCTGTATGCATACCTATGCCTGCATCTTTGCTTTCTGACTTGTCTTCCCCTTTGATCTGTCCCTGTCCTTCTGCGCAGTAGATGATGAGTTAGATGAGTCTTTACCAATTTAACTGTATGAGAATCCTGTTTTGACAGATGTATAGCACTTCTTCTGCTATGGCTTTCCAGTTCTATAAGAATCTACTCTGTGTGCATCGTAATGGGTTGAGCTTGTCTGGCTTTCATTTCTTAGCTGGCAGATTTAAGTCTCTTTGTTTAAAAAAATAAAAAGGAGCCAGGAGTAGCACCCCACACCTTTAATCCCAGAGGCGGGTGCATCTCTGTGAGACCAGCCTGGTCTACATAAAGAATTCCAGGACAGTCAGCGCTACACAGAGAAACCCTGTCTCATAACTAACTACTTGGAAAGAAGGGGCAGTGAGATGTTTCAGTGGTCAAAGTAACTTGCTGCCAAACCCTAAGGCTGAGCTTGGCCCTGGAACCCATAGGGTGGAGGGAGAGACCTGATTCATACAATCCTACAAGTTGTCCTCTGACCTCCACATGTTCTCTAAACACAGACAGACAAACAGACACACACACACACACACACACACACACACACACACTGATAGATACAGACTCAGACACACACACAGACACACAGACCACACACACAGACACAGAGACACACAGACAGACACAGACACATAGACACACACACAGAGAGACACACACACAATCAGATACAGACACACACACACAGACAGATACAGACACACAGACCACACATACATACACAGATACATACACAGACAGACACACACACACACACACACTCACACACAGAGAGACAGATACAGACACAGACACACGGACACATGGACACACAGACAGACAGACACACACACGCACAAATAAATAAAATAACTTAAAATTTTAGAAAAAAAAAAGAACCAAAGAAAGTTCTTTCCTATTCTGCTTTTAAGTTGTTTTGCTCCTGTAAGTTGTTGGGTACCCTTCCGGATCCAGGTTGCTCTGCTCACTCCATACACTACAGGAGACTGAGGGGTCACACCTCACATGTGCTTTCCAATGACCATCTGCTCCGAAGCGCTGCTGTGCCCTGTGGGGGCCATGAAGCCATCCTGAGCTTTGAGTTAATCTGACTCGATTCTGGGATCTGTCAGGGAAGAGTACGGCAAAGCGATGATGGCAGTTGTAACGAGCTCCAGCCCTCTTGGCTCCCACCCAAAGCACTTGCCGGGGAGGTTGACTTTTCCCTCCAGACAGCATCTTGTTCGCCATTACTGCCTCCAGAACTGACTCTGTCCCTCTTGATAAATCAGTCCGCAAGCTGGGCGTGCAGAATGAAAGCTCAGAAAACATACCCACATCTCGGGTTCAATCCCCCATGACCTTGACTACACATCAGGGCTGGGGGTGAATCCAAATCGGGAGGGAGAAGTGTGGTGTGTGTGTGTGTGTGTGTGTGTGTGTGTGTGTGTGTGTGTGTGTGGTACAAGGGGGGAGGAGGAGTTCAAGGAAGAGCCCGTGGGCCCACCTGAGTTCCCACCCTTGAGCGATGCTTTGGACCCCTTTCCGAGTCGATGTCAGCGTCGGTGTTTTGTGAGAATGTAAAAGGCCAAGCAGGACCAGGCCCACATGCTGATTTGGACAAGAAGCCAGCAATCCGGGGTGGGTTAGAGAGTGGAGACAAACGCGGCAGCACTTCTGCCAAACTACTTTCTAAACGAAGCCCAGCTGGGCCCCAGGCCCCCATATCCTGAGGTCGGCTTGAGCTGCATGGATGGTGGCTGGCGAGGGCTCTCTCCCACTTCTGCGATCACTTTAGTGGTTTCCCGAGCTCTGGCTCCAGCTGCCTGCCAGACAAGCTCTTCTTCTCTGCCCTGTCTCTCGTGGTTGTTTATGATGCTCATGTCTGGGCTTCATTAAGAAGTGCCCCCATTCTTTCATTTCCCACACAACAACCGTCCGCACACG